CGCTATAGGCCCGCGGTCTGTCATTGTTGGTATAAATGACGGGCTGTACGTAGGCCCTCTGCAGGTGCGTGGGCCACGGGAGCTTCAAGTCCTCCCGAGAGTTTTCCCGAACTTGGATTTCTGGAGTGGAGGGAGGAAAAGGGAGACGGGTCTTTAACCCTGTTTACGTCAGGTTTCTTTGGCATTCTGGGCCTCTATTGGCTAAATGGCATACCGCTATACGACAGAATACAGAGGAACCGAAGTAGGGGAAGCTTTAGACTGGGTTTTGACGGAGAATTGCTTGTATTCACCCCAGGCTTTCTTTGGCCTCCTAAACCTCAAATTCCTAAAGGCCCTAGCGCTATATGACAGAACACAGAGCAACAGAAGTAGAAGCTTAACTTTAGACTGGGTTTTGACGGAGAATTGCTTGTATAGTCAAATTTGTTTCTAGTATAGTGACGTGAAGAAAATGGTCACAGTACTACAGACACGCTTCTGAATGTTGTAGTAAATTAGGGGAAAAACAGTCCAAAAGACCACCGAAAAATATCCAGGTGGTCCTTGCGTGTACATTGAGGTGGTTAATAGCTAGCCTGAGTGACATCCTTTTTAGCTTTCGTCCGCTCCTCCACTATCCGCTACCGGCCAAGGACGAAAGCTGAAAAGGCTGACACTCAGGCTTAGTTCTTAACCACCTTTACTCAAGGACCACCTGGATATTTTTCGATGGTCTCTTGGACTGTTTTTGCCCAAATTGGGCTGTTTTTCCCCAAATTGACCACAGCACAAGTTTTACCTATATTTCTCATCTGTGGCTTCGTGTCGACGTCTAGCTTGGCCTCCGGTCCGGACTGTGCGTCCTTCTTGGTGTCCGTCTGGATGGCGCGCTCGCTCTTCCTGGGCAGCGGGGGGACCGCCACCACCCGCCGCTGCTTCCCGATGAAGTACCGCAGGCAGCACGCCATCATCGACTGGAATATCTGTATGACATGAAAATAAAGTACTGTCATTCACTTTATGTTCCTGGTAGCAAACGTTCACGGTCTGAGAAAAATGGACATGTTCACGGAATTATTTGTTAACTGTGATGATAAGTTCGCAGTACAGAAGTGACAGTGAAAACAGTGAACATAACAGTACAGTGAAAAAATCAGGAATTACAGTACTGTATGTACGATGCAACTATGTACGAAATTTTATGCTGGAGTCTCAACTCTCATCCTTATGATTGTCTTTTAAACGTTTTCTGTGTGTGTTTTGTTGCCTATTATATCATACTTTTCGTTCACGCAAACTGCCCGGCCGGGTCCCGGCTTGGAAGTGTGACTCTATAGCAGTAGGGACGGAGGGCAAGACAGAGAAAGACAGTAAGATATCCAGATTAAACAAAAAATCCTGTGTGAACGCGGGGTCTAGTGAAGGATAGAGAATATAGAGTTGTTTAGGAGAAAGGTAGAGGTCCCAAAGCCTTTTTAACAAGTCAGATGGAGAAAGTCTAGATAGGATTCGCGCGTCCGCTAACCCAAGAAATCGCGAAGTAATGGAGAGGACACCGCGTATCGGCCTTCTAAAATGTGCTTTCAGATCTATCTCGCAGGCATGTCGGGCTACAATTTTTCCCGTTATGTGACGACCATCGTTCTTACCTGCAGGGCGATAGCTCCCGACAGCCCCCCGCCTATCCCGATCAGCACATCCATGTTGTTCTGGGCCCAGGTCTGTACTCCCGTGAAACATCCTCTCTGGACGAAAAAAAATGGGAAAAAAAATGTTGTTTCAACACCATCATTTAATAGACCAATCCTGACTGTTAGCGTTTCGACCGATGCAAGTGTGACTGCATGTCCGTTAAATATTGAATGAATTTGCATGTTTTTAGTTTGCATTTCTACTTTTCTTGTAGATGGGCGGGCTACAAGAGCCCAGATCGTGTGGCGTAGCGGCAGAGTGCTCGACTCGGAACCAAGAGGTCCCGGGTTCGAGTCCTTACATGCCACCGATCTTGTGCCCTTGGGAAAGGAACTTTACACGACTTTCCTCACTTCGCTCAAGTTTAAATAAGTATTGTCTTGTCCTGTATTTGTTCTCTGCGTTGGTGGCGGCATAAAAATAAGTTGATAAAACTTGAGTGTGCCGTCACCATGTCTAGTCATGAACTTGGAATATATATGTTTATGTATAATTGACTGTACACGCAATTAGCCTTCGGGCATGATTTTGCAAATAAACAATTATCTTATAATTAAACAAGAGCAGGGAATCAGTTTTATAGGCTTCAAATGTTAGCAGTACCCAGCGAGAGAGCACTCCTGTGTTTTTTACAGACCATTTTCGCATGCGCGAAAATGGTAACTCAGACGAGATTGAGATTGGATCAACGGATGGATGGATCAACGGTTCCACCCTTCAACGGCCATGCAGACATGCTAAGTCACCGCATGTCGCTAGATGTCGTTGTTGCGACGGCCATGCAGACATGCTGAGTTGCCGCATGTCGCTAGATGTCGTTGTTGCGAGTGCACTTTTTACCATTTATGCCTTGGACGTTTGTATACTTTCCATTATGGTTGCTAATTTCAAAATCATAGTTCTATTAATGTTGCATAACAAAGCTGCTGACAAAACAAACTTAATTTGTCTTGAACAATAACTTGATTTTATTATTTGCCAAAAATGTTGATAAAGACATGTCTATAATCACAGTAATCAAGGATTTTAATAAACTGCATAAATTATGTCAATGAGCATTAGCAGTGTGGATTAGTCTAGATGTTCAGATTTCCATTAGCCGGCAGTCCAGAGGGTCACACGTCCGACCAATCAAGGCGCTGCAGGCAAAGCTTATTAAAAGCCTCCTTTTCAGGCGTTCCCGGATCGGTGTTTTTGTGTGTGTGTGTGTTGGGGGGGGGGTTTTTTCTGACCAAACGTAGATCGCACGCAATAGAAGCTCCGGCCTACATAGCTGTCCGTGGAACTATTGATATTACCTGGGTGCCTAACTTTCACCAACATGTCTTTTGTATTTTAGGAAATTAATTAATTAATGAGTGAGTGTTTAATTAACTTAAATAGGTATTGCATTGTTTGGCAAGGTATTTTCCATTGACAATTTTTAATGGATCAGGTTGATCAAATGATATAATGTAAACAATTATATATGATTAGTAAAAGATGACTTTTGAAGTTCTCTTCGAGTATCATTTTAGGGTTGAATCAGGGTCAACGCGAAAAAAAATCATGATCCGGTGATCGACATCATGCCCCCCCGCACACTTCATGTATTCAGTGTTCTAAATACCCGTCTTCAGTCTGCAATTTGCAGATAGTTTTTCAAGATTTCAGGATAAAAATTACACAATCTGCAATTTGAAGAATGAAAAAAAAAAACTATGGTCCTCACAACTTCATATTCCCTTTGTTTGACCCGCCCGGCGCCCAAATCCCGCTGCGATTCAAGCCGCGGCGGCTTCCCGAGCCATGCAAATAAACCTAGTCCTGACGCCACAGCCTCCGATTTCCACCGAGCCAGCCCCGAGCGCATGCCGACAGCGAGGGATGTGGCTCAGATTTCCGACGATTTCCTTATTTAGATCATTCGGAAGACTTCGGGTAGCAAACAAAATGGCCGCCATGCACATGATTTTATACTAGTAGCTTCGCTTCTCAACCGAAATGAGGAAGTTTAACCTCATTTGCAGACTTTAGCGGCCATGGAGTTGATTTGGGGAAGTGCTGAGACGCGATTTCGCTACGGCATATGGGATTTTGCCGCGGAGGGAGTTACGTACGCCGGCAAAAACTTGCTTCAGCGATCGGCTCCAGAAAATTTATCTTTATGCTGCCGCTCAAGTCTTCGAAGGTGGTTTAACGAAGTTTATATAAATAATAAAGCCACTTTGCGTAGATCGATCTCCGTTTTCTTGCGATGGTATGAAAATTCAAGTACAGTATATTTTCAAAACGTTTGTATATTTCTTTGTTCGTTTGCCACATGTTGTTTATTTATCTTATTGTCATGTACAGTTACCAGCGTGAGTCTGAGTCGAGCCATTGTTCTTATGTGGCCGTTAGCACATGTTGTCTAAACAGACAGCAACATTGAAGAAAAGAACCGAGTTAACAGACATCGGCACGTTCCTTGAAGTCAGGTTTCCCGCCGTATTTAAATAAGAAATGTGTGGGCCCGCGCCGTTTTGAAAAGACGCGACGCGCTTTGGAAAGACCCCGCGCCGTGGCTCATTCAAATTCGCTACATTTTTGCTAAGTTTAATGTCTTCACCCACGATTTTTGACCGTCAATGTTGACGGTAAGGACTTAAATTTTTACCGTCCGACGGGAAAAAATACCGTCAATTGACGGTAAAACGGGCGCTGGCTAAAGCCCTGGTTGAATGTCACGAGGTTTGTAAACTTAGATGTTGGGGACAAAGCCATAGAAGAGATTTTGAATAAATATATATATATATATATATATAACGTTACTTATAATTTAAGTTAAAATGTACTTTTGTGTCTCATTTTTTTATTCTGTTAAAAAGACTCTTAAAAGAGAGAAAACAGGTTATAAACTGTTATATACTTGATTTTTGTAATGTTTTAAACTTAAAGAGTTGAAATATAGAAGTGCATGTTCTCTCATTATATACAATGTTGATAAGAACTAGAACCATTTATATAACTTAGGTAAATTGAAATGCTAGGATGGGGAAAATGTTCGTAAAAACTGTAAGCCTGTAAGCGGCGAAAATGGTCAGCTTTTGCAGAAGCACTTGTTTTTATTCCAACATGTAATCACCAGACGTGGTGACGGCACACTCAAGTTATATCAACTTATATTAATGCCGTCACCAACACAAGGGACAATACAGGACAGGTTGATACTCATTTTCACCTGAGCGAAGTGAGGAAAGCCGTGTAAAGTGCCTTTCCCAATTGCAAGGGCACAAGATCGTTGGCATGTCAAGACTCGAACCGGGGACGTCTAGGTTCCGAGTCGCGCACTCTGCCGCTACGCCACACGACCAATTATGTGGGGTTTACGTTTGGAGTTTTCTTCTCTGAACATTTATCAAAATGACTTTATTTCCTTACCGCGTACAGAGACGAAGGGACCGTACTGTTGACGGAGAAGCAGCTTTGGTGCAGGTCAGAAATCGGGAGGTTATAGTCCGTCACGTTCTCAAAACCACAGCACTCAAACTGTAGGGAAAAATCGACAGATAGAACTTATACATGGTTACGTATATAAAACAAAAGTAGCATGTCCAGATCGCTCTGCTGCAGTACTAAGGAAAGCCACTATCATCATTTCCAGTTTACCCCTACCAACGCACCGAGTATGAAATAAAACCAATCCATCCAGCCGTTCTTCCGTTATCTTATTGACCACTTCGGATTCTTAACAAGTAAAGAAAAATTCATATTCCTGTTCAAATTTGATAAACCAAATCTAACTACACATACAGCATCTTACATTATTACTAAGAAGCGAGAAGAAGTTGAAAAGACTGGAATACATTAGACATTTATATATACAAGTACATGTAATAGTTATATGTATATTTATATGAATATGTATTCGAATATGTATAATGTGACCTGTGCTTAGCCCAGTGGGGCAAAAATGTACAATAAAGGTCTTCATTCATTCATTCATTGACCAACAGACAGACAGAATGACGGACAAACGCAACTGAAAATATAAGCTTCAGGACATTTCATGGAGGTAACAAACTGTTGGAAACATTATAAACATTACAAATATCATGACCCAGGAAATGGGGTGAAACCTTACTGCCTCAGAATCTAGCGGGGAGCCAGCAGGAACCAAATCATTGGTCAACATCGGGGAATTAAACAAAGGATTGCATACTTCCGGATAGTCTGAAGTCTCTTTATTTCTTGTTCTCACCTGTTTTTGGAAGAAATATTTTGTCTCGTCATTCAGGGCGTCCCACAACTGTCCCGTGAAGAGCTCCAACTGTACAGGTGAAAGGAAAATTCATTTACTGTGATATTAATAGTCAACGTAATTCGGTACTGCGGACAATCTTTACACGTATTACTTTGAGGAACCGGACAAAAATCAACCGGCATATACTGTATATCGTGAATGAAACTTTTACAGTAGGGGAGGTAGGTTTCAAGGTATTCTAGATTTGAGGTTGAAACAATTCTGTAGCACAGAAATACAATACGCTTCGTGGAGATAAAACCACCGCGAAAGTTTCATAGTTTACAGTACCTTAGTGTCATCATTAACATTCAAAACCGTATCAGCTCAGATGTCATTTAATGCTATACTTATGGATGGTCACTTAAAGACTCTTAAAGTGATATTATGTAAGATTTTTGCCCCCAAACTGTAAATATAAATAATTGAATTTTCTCATCTAGATTGTCATTTTCAATAACGTTCAAAATATTAGCGTCGCTATTTTGCTTTTCCGGTGACTCAGCGCAGCGCCAGACCCGCTGTATTTTAGGAGGCTCCTGAAAAGAATGTAAACAAACAATATGGCCACGATCCCCCCTAGAGCTGAGGGGTTGGTAGATTTCCAACACGTTTTTGTGGTGCAACAACGTTGATCTTTTACTCCCCAAACGTCATTTTGAACCCAGGTAGGCTTATAGCGCAAGAAAATGTTTAAAACGATGTTTAAAATAATGAAAATCTTATATATATCACTTTAAGTCACTAACCTCGTTTCTCTGAAGAATGATGACGACGATGAGTGAAATTTCGCCCAGCAGTAGAAAGATGACGATCCCTTGGTACTGGGAGAAAATAGAATTATCATATTAGGTGTCTTTGTCTGTCGTTATTTGGTGTGTTATTAATTAATGATAAGCAAATGCTTATGGATAAGATACAGATGCATGTAATAATTAAAATGAATGTTGTTGGCATACTCACTAAATCTAGTACGCATGCGCTCTCCCTACAACCCCCGACACAGCCATTCAAACCTGTAGCATCAAGAAAAACGTTAAATCAAACAACAAACAAACAAAACAACAAACAAACAAAGCAACAAACAAAGGAATGGATGGATGGATGGATGGATGGATGGATGGATGGATGGATGGATGGATGGATGGATGGATGGATAATAGATTATCTAAGATATCTAGGTTAATGAGATTGACACACAACTTAGCGTAGCCACAATACACAATTATCATTATTTCTAGCAATTATGAAAATTAGAGACGGAAAGATACGTTTGTATTCGCTTACCCACAAGAAACATGAGGAACCCCAGCATCACAATTCCGTATATCACCACCTAGAAATGAAGGTAAAAATACGTTAAATTGTCGTTCTCGATCAACTTAGTAAAGCTAATATCTTTTTCAAGTACTAGTATCTAGTGGTAGCTTCTCACGTTGTAGTGCATGTGGTCACATTTTATAATAACAGTATTGTTTTACTGTCACGAAAGTTCATCTGTGTTGGTATTTACATGTTTAGAGTTAAAACTTTAGATCCTACACAAAACGTTTTCTCACCTAGAGCTTTCGACCAGTCTACTGAGGAAAACCAGAGTGACTGATCGAAAGCTCTAGGTTAGAGAACTTTTTGTGTTGGATCTAAAGTTTTAACTCTAAACAGTATTGTTTTACATGTGGCCGTTGGCTTTACGTCACCATCCGACATAAGGAATACAAAGCTTATAGGGTACATGAAAAATCATACGATAGGAACATAAGGGAAACTGCACATTTACCTTTACAGTCACAATGTCTTGATTATAAAACGTCGAATTTTCATGTGCTCCTTGACAAGCTACCCTTTCTCTTATCTCCTTAAGATCATTATAGCAAGGAAGGTAAAATCAGTGAGTGATGTAAGTTATACCAAATGTTTTCAGACACCATATGAACACTGTTTTGATGATTAGGCCCAACCAATTTAATGTGTAGTTTCTCGGACTCGCCCTGTGAATTTTTTTCTAATTTGCAAAAAAAAACTGCAAAATGATCAATAAAAGACATACTTTGGCCTCAATCGTTGAAGAAAGTCCTCTTCTTCCAAGTTGTTAAAGTTTTTCAATGTGAAAATGCAACTTTGTTTCATTAAAAGTTCAAAAGCTATTTTTTTAATTATAAGCCAGCCTGGTGTGTTGACTTCATGGCTCATATTGTAACATTTCCGGCCTTCATGGGGTGCCTTGGCCTGTTTTTTTTCGCCCTGTGTGTATGTCGCTTCATATTTAAAAAAAAAATCCGAGAAACAACAAATTGATTTGGTGTGGCCTTAGGTAATGCATATGACATCTGGACCACTTACCGGGTTGGTGTTCAGGTACTGCAGAAAGTCAAACTGCTCTGGTGACGTCACCATCACCCATGTTCCCGCCCCGATCGCCCCGGCTCCCGCTACCTGTGGGGTGTTGGGGGTGGGATGGGTATTCGGCTGTTATTAAAGAAAATTTAAAGTTTCCTTACAGTTTTACTTAAAGGCATCCAATATGAATTCAGGTTAGCAAACTGGAAATATTCTGAATAAGGCAATCTTTGTGATATTGACACCTACTGCTTCACATTAGCACATATATAAAATCAGCATTTCATACTTTGCGCAATTAAAACTACAGAAACAAGCCCCAATTTAAGACAAGTCCTTTATTTTCTGGGTGGTACCCTACAAATCAGCCTAGGTCCCTTCCAGTAAACTTTTTTTGTTTGTTTTGCTGTCTAATATTATAATTTTCGTTCCATACGACTGCCCTGCCGGGCCCCGGGTTGGGAAAGGTGACCGTGCCTTTAGGCGAGGAAATTCGTGTAAAGTACGTTTCCCAACGACACAATGACGTCCTTGCAGAGATTTTATTTTTCTTTCCCTTAACACAATATAGAATTTTTTCCAGGGTCAGGCAGGCGTGGAACTCAAACTGTATCTGCTCTATCAAACGATCCTCGGAAATTACTACTCTCCAAGCAGAGGTTAGGGTTTTGGGTGTATTTTCAACGTGTTTTTAGGCTTTTTATCAGGGTTTCTTTTTTGCACTGGAATTTTTCTTTCACGAAAATCTTTCAATAAAAATTCCAGTGCAAAAAAAGAAACCCCGATGAAAAAGCCTAAAAACACGTTAAAAATACCCCAAAACCCAAACCTCTGCTTGGAGAGTAGGCAAATACTTCTAAATACCGTCAATACTTCTGCCCATACAGCATGAAAACAAAGCGTATACACGGGTTAAGTGGTTGTGAAGTATGGTGAGTCAACAAATAAACAACTGTAGTCGTCATGGAGATAATCATGGCGGCATCGCGACCCGTTACGAAATTAATTCAAGAGTTCTTGTTGCGCCACTTTGTGCATGGGTGAGGTTTGATAGTTATGGTTACATGCATACGTCCACTGACCAGCGATTGTCGTACAATCAAAAACAGATTATTGGGATATACTTATAGTCAAAAATATCAATACCTAAAATGATGAAATGAGAAATTTCCTTTGTTATTTCCTGTAGTTACAACATTTTCTAACATCCGCAAGGCCTCAGAAGCGACTGGAAAGAGTGGTATGTTATCTGTCTGTTGGGCCAATTTCTACTCTCCCAGCCGCTTCAGAAGCCTGGCAGAGGCTACCCTTTCCAGTTGAAACTCGGGATGACTGTATTGTTTGTATCAGGGATGGCGAAAACATATCTCAACAAGAATTCAGAGATCTCATACCTCCATGAAATATGTATACTACATGTGTTTTTTTTTTCATCACTTTCGGACCCGTTACGAAATTCATTCAAGAGCTCTTGTTGCGCTACTTTGTGCATGGGTGAGGTTTGATAGCCTAGTTATCAGACTTTTGATTTGGGCTCTTTGCATGATGTTTGGGGTCCGGTTACATGCGTTCCGCGATCGTCGTACGATCGAAAACAGAAGGCATTTTATATATATATATATATATATATTCCAACATTTCATGACTAGACATGGTGACAGCACACTCAAGTTATATCAACTTATTTTTATGCCGCCACCAACGCAGAGGACAAATACAGGCCAATACTCATTTTTACTTGAGTTAAGTGAGGAAAGTCGTGTTAAGTACCTTTCCCAAGGACACAAGATCGGTGGCATGTCAGGACTCGAACCCGGGACCTCTTGGTTCCGAGTCGAGCACTCTACCGTTACGCCACACGACACCCAAAATGATACAACATGGTGACGAAATTTGAAAGAAATTAACGTTTTAACAAAGCGACGTTATAGGGATTTGTAGCGCCCAGAACAGGTAAAACATGGAAAATTTCTGTTTGTTTTTGTGTGTTTCGGCAGTGGTTTTCTGTATACACACGTATCATACAATGCACACCATTCAGAACAGTGATCGAGCGTAGTAAATGAATTAGTGTACTGTTGAGAGATTAGCATTAACACAGTCGTGAGAGAAGATAGAAAACTGTTAGCCTCCATAGCATGCCGCGGTTTGGGGGGTCTTCGTGGCCTTTGGGATCTTTTATGTGCTATTTTCTGATTACATATAGACAACATAGCCGGCCTGGTTGAATTACCCCCGTTTTTAGAACTGGACTAATCAGAAAACAGCCGAGGACCACCAAACCCCCATAAAGCCTGCTACGGAGGTTAGAAAACTGTGCACCACCGACAATTTGTGCATCATGAAGTTGATACAATGTAGGCTTTAATACTAATAATAACATAATAACATAATTGTGACAATATATTGAAATGTAGCTATATATGCTTTCGTTGAGATAAAGAAGATAATCTCCTTGCTTAGAAGAATTCAGTTTGGCTCGTTTTCGTTCCCTTGCACGTGAATGTCATTCCATTTCCTGTCGCATTTTCTTTTGTCGATTTTTTCTTTCAGAATTTTCACCTATTTCGGTTCCTATAAAACATCCGGTGTACATCGATGATCCTTTTACATGACATGAACTGAGGAATACTCACCATGAAGATGAGGTTGACGGTGATGAAAGTTGTTTTAACGCAGCATTTCATGTCCTCAGGCTGGCTGGTTTTCCCTTCTGTCAGCAGTCCCGCGCATTCTTCCACTTCTATACAACACTGGCCTGGTATTAAACCACACAAAGAGCTACCGGCCGAAAGGGCGGGACGAACCTTTTCATACCACTGAGTGGATGCTTAAAGAAAGAGCTTATTGAAAAGGCCGACATTTGCTTTGGAGCAAATGTAGCGGATGGCTTCACCACATTTTACGACATGGCAGGGAAAGAAGGAGAAACACAAGGAAAAACAATTCTTTACATTGATATAACTATAGTATGAAGTGATAACAATTGGATAGCTATCCCCTACATTATTGGTTAGGATTTTTAATTGCATAATGCAAACTGTTGATTTTCAAGATAAAAAGAAGCGTTTATGCCCCGCATTTCAATGCTGGAGCAGGAAAGCTTGACATACCTACCAAAACACTTGAATGCAGTTCATACTGTCAATATGGCATGACTTTGAAGGAGTTGAATCAATTTAAAGAAATGGCAGGAGGAGGAGGAGAAACAGAAGGAAAACAAACATGAGGAAAAACAATATGTCTTCACCACATAGTGGTGAAGCCATAAATACATGCCCGATGGCTAATTGCAAGTACAAAACAACAAGTCTGAAATGGAGAATACAGTGATTTTTATCATAAGGGACTACATCCAACGTTATACTACATTCTACAACATATATGGTCCTAGTTTTGTTGGGTTGAAATGCATGATAAAACTTCTCGTCCGACCCACTAGACTACAAAAGTGGACGGTCCCCATCGGTAAGGGTGGCACTCGGCAGAGTGAGCTTTGACATCGTTGCCAAGGCGACGCAGAAAATATGAGGCGTCATAGATGGAGGGCACTTTGTGCGAACCAGGATATTGTTCCGGTTCAAAGACGACGACGTAAAAACGCGACGCAGAAATTTTCCTTTGTTATTTCCTGTAGTTGCACCCTTTTCTAACAACTACAAGGCCTCAGAAGCGGCTGGAAACAGTGGAAATTCCCTGGTATGTTTAAAATCAGGATTTTAACTCCATGGTTTAATAGGCCAAACCAAGACCCCCAAACTAGTGGGCGCGGGTGAATAAAAAAATTCCGGCCAAAACTAAAAATGCTTCTAAACCATAGGAATAAAGAGCTGGTATTGTGAATTAGCGGCAGTACATAGCGACGTATACGACAAGCCGGCACATGCTGGCTTTTTGCGGAATTCATGAATCGGCACTGTACATGTACGTATGTACTGAGTTCTTGAGTCGTTGCTGAGCTTCGCCAATCTGGGTGCCATCCTCCAGAGTTACCACCGGCTCCGTATTGTCGCTAACTACCATGGACTACCCAGGCCTAGAGCCAGGCCAGAGCCTCGGAAGACGTGAAAACATACATCAACAAGAATTCGGAGATCTCATACCTCCATGAAATATGTAGAGTTTATGTAAATGTTTTGGGGGGATTTGTCTCATTGATTATGGAAATAAGGTCGTAAGTACCATAATCTAGTTTAATTTATGGTTTTCTAAACTCAAATTATAATATTTTACTCGTGAAATTCCTATCCTTTGGCAATATTCAACATGTCTTTATTAATTATGCAAATGACGGCCACCAGGAGGCCCATATTTGACCCTGACCTTTGTCTTCCTACGACCTGTCAACATACCAAATATCATGATCACAATCCATAAAGGCGTTCTGAAGTTATGCTGATTACAAATGTGCGGAAACACGTTGTGCGGAGGCACATACACACACACACACACACACACACACATGCACACACACACACACACACACACACACACACACACACACACACACACACACACTCACACGCACAAACACACACCAAAAACAATGCCTCAATTTTCTACGGAGGTAAAAACACGCGTTATACAGTACACTGGCTCACATCCTACATCTGCTTGGAGATTTGCCTAAAGGCACCTGACTCGTCCCTCAGCTCTCGACTCGTCATGACCTCTTCACCTTCAGAATCTCCAATTATCACTCCGCGGTTCACGTCCTAGCGAAGGGGGTTAAAAAATCATTAATCAACATGACAGCCAAACAATAGTACAGAGCATGGCGTCTCAATTTTGTCTGTGATATCTTGGTGAGATCATGGGAATTTTAATTAGCGGGCGTTTCTCAAAATGGGCTCAAAATGTCAAAAGGGAGTCAGTCTAAAAAGGGGGGAGGGTTGAACACCTCAAATACATAAGAATACATAAGAATACATACATACGAATACATACAAACGAATACATTTTGTACTAACTTAGTAAGTTTCAGACCTTTCTATCAAAGGTCCCGTTCCACTTTATGCAGAGTATAGGGGTCACGGTGGTGCCCATATCCATTTCCATAGCCCTTGGGCGACACACACAGTTGTGCAAGGCACTACAGCAGGGGGCTAGTCCGCTGGTAGTGCTGTGTGTTTGACCTTCTCACACTCTTTCTCATATGTGCTGAGTGCTACATTGTAAGCAAAGAAAGAAGCCTGTACCATTTTAAAGTCTTTGGTATGACCTGGCCGGGGTTTGAACGCACTCTGCCAATATTGAGCTATTTTTATCAGGTGAGGGTATATTGTTTATAACTACAAATTCGTCGAAGGACGTCGTAAGATTTTGATGTCGAGATATTTTCAAGCAGACTGTGACAGAACCGACCGCAGACGGGAATCTCAGACAACCTTTTCCGCAATATGACTGTTGAATTTTATACGACATATCATACGACTTTCGCAAGAATGAATGCCCTCAATTTGAGATCGCACGACGATCTTGCGACCTACATGTATGTGGCCTGGTCTTAAAGGCATCCAGTGCAGTTTTTAGGGCTTGGAAACCTGATTTTTCAAAGCCAATATTCTAGTCACTATATGCTGAGTTGAAACCACACTTTCCCAATGTATATTGACCCTCATGGAGCAAACATTTCCCAAAATTCTGACGGAAAATGGTTACTGGAAGGGCCCTGGGCTGATTTTTAGGGTACCACCCAGAAAATAAAGGACTCATATTGGGGCCTGTTTCTGCAGTTTTATATGCCCAAAGTATGAAATGCTGATTTAAATGTGCTAATTATAATGTGAAGCAGTATGTGTCAATATCATACAGATCGCCTTATTCGGTGCCTTTAATAAGTTGTATTAGCGTTTGAACTAACGTAAAATCCTGCCCGTGCAAGCTAGAAGGGCAAGGTTTAATTTCCGAACAACGCGGGGCAATTATGATGTGCGCACTCAAGCCCGGAGGGGACTATTTGTGTTGCGTCACATACTGGTGGAATGACGTGTGAAAAATCCCAAAGTACGGATAACGTTATATTTTTAGTATCCTATACATAGCCATTCACTCCTTACAAAACGCCTGTATACGTAGACTAGTGAGTTTTCAGTGAGTCAGACTTATATCAGTATACCTGCACGTGCCACCGAATCACATTAAATCATTTTGAAGCATGGTGTCCACCTAGCGTATTTTAGGGAAACAGCACATCGATGATAAAAGAATCCCAAGCATTATTATATACATTGTGTGTTTTGGAGCCCATTTCGATCTCTCTCCTGCACCCAATACTATTTTAGCAGCATATATCTGTTTGACAAACGCTTATTGCAAAATAGCCTGAAGTCAAGATGTCTTTACTAACGTTCTGTCAAGGTCTTATTACAATATGACCTGTGTGACGTTAAAGTTAAATGCGATTTCAGGGCAGCAAAACTGGAAATATTCTGAATAAGGCAACATAGCTTGGTATTGACACATACTGCTTCACATTAGCACATTTGAGTCAGCATTTCATACATTGGGAATTTAAAACTGAGGAAACAAGCCCCACAATGAGTCCTTTATTTTCTGGGTGGTGCCCTAAAAATCAGCCCGTCGCCCTTCCAGTAGCCATTTTCCGTCAGAATATTGGGGATGTTTGCTCCATGAGGGTCAATATACATTGGGACAGTGTGGTTAAGTGGCTAGACTATTGACTTTGAAAAATCGGGTTTCCAAGCCCTAAAAACTTTTTTGGACCATGGGCACCGAGTTTATGTATATTGCCTGGTAAGGCTTGTACACAAGGACAGACTTGATTATAGCCTAATGACCATCCTCATAATGATCGGGGTATGTGGTTTTCGAAAATGTCGAAAACTCATACGAAAATACCTAGAATTGTTTCCTTCCTTACATCATACGGTATCAAGCGATCCGTGTATATTTTTGAACGAACGTCTGTGGCAATTGAATAATACTACCTTTGTTGTTCAATCTTAGCATATGGGAAAGTGTATTGTATTTTTGAGTCATAAACATTTTAAGGGTCATTTTCCTTTAAATAAAAAATGTTTTGCCATCGGCTACTTGTCGATAAGGTCTGAAGTACTGATACTGATAATAGAATAAAGCGGCAATCGCCCTTCGCCACTTTTGTAAGCTGTCATTATATGTGCCCTTGTCGGCTACGTGCGCTTTATCTTAGCAAGGACGTCATATGAGGTCCTTGGTCCTAAACACTTTGCACTCTTGTTGAGGACAATGTTTAGGCCACAGCATATAAATTTTAGGGATGACATCTACCACAGACTCCAAATACAAGCGGGCCGAAAAAACAAGGTTCCTACATTTTAAAATTTTGACTCAATCATGGTACAAATGGTTTTGATTCAGTGGGAACATCACATATACACAGCCAGTATCACATGTCACTGCATCAAAGTAAGAAACAAAACATAAGATCAGAGTCTTTTCTTGTCTCCTCTCTTCATAGTTATCTGTCATCCACCTTTCGGCTTGGCAACAGGCATCTTTGCCCATTTTCGGCATGGTGACCACTGTCAGAAGGCAACAAAATTTCTTGTTTTTTTCCCTCCAAAATCAGGCGAAAATTAATGCGCGCGCTGATGTCATCCATAAAAATTACTTGCTGAGGCCTTAAATGGAATGGGCCTATAAGCTTTATTTTTTAGATATGCCACTCTGTTGTCTTCGACTTAGAAGGACTTGCTACAAGGAGATGCCACTCAAAAGTATAGAAATAGGTTAACACATGTC